GGTGTTCGCCCCTGGGTTTGGGAGTTCAACATGGCCCCCGTTGTATAAAAAACTATCAGCGGCATGCCGCCGCCGCGCTCGCGCGCGCGCGCTGGCGATTGGCGCGAGCGCATTCGGTTTCGCATTTCCACGCGGGCATGCCCCCGCCTCCCGATCAGAGAATGCATGTTTACATCGGGTTTTCGCCATTGGGTTTGGGAGTTCAACATTGCTCCCGTCGTTTAAACATCGGTCACCGGCATGCCGTTGCCGCGCGCGCGTTGGCGAATAGTATTTGCGCGTTCTGCGTCGCATATCCACTCGCGGATTTTCCCGTCTGCCGATCAGAGGATGGATTTTGACATTAGGTTTTCGCCATGGGGGTTTGGAGTTCAGCATCGCTCCCGTTGTATAAAATCTATCAGCGGCACGCCGCCGCCGAGCGCGCGCGCGTTGGCGATTGGCATGTGCGCATTCAGTGTCGCGTATCCACATGGGGACGTTCCCTTCTTCCGATCAGAAGATGATATTTTGCAATGGGTTTTCGCCATGTGTTTTTAGAATTCAACATGGCCCCCGTTGTAGTAAGCTTATGAGCGGCATGGCGCCGCGCGCGCGCGGTGGCGCTTGGCATTTGCGCATTCAGTGTCGCATATCCACATGGGGATGCTCCCGCCTTCCGATCAGAGATTGGAATTTTATATTGGGTTTTCGCCAGTGGGTTCTGGAGTTTAATATCGCTCCTGTTCTATAAGATTTATCAATGGCATGCCGCCGCCGCGCGTTGGCGATTGGCATTTGTGCATTCCGCGTCGCATATCCACGCGGGGATGCCCCCGTCTTCCGATCAGGGAATGAATTTTTACATTGGGTTTTGCGCCATTGGGTTTTGGAATTCAACATGGCTCCCGTTGTGTAAAATCTATCAGCGCGCGCGTTGGCGCTTGGCATTTGTGCATTCAGTGTAGTATACCCACATGGGGATGTTCCCGTTTCCCAGTCAGAGAATGAATGTGTACATTGGGTTGTCGATATTGGGTTTGGGAGTTCAACGTCGCCCCCGCTGCGTCAAACCTATCAGCGGCATGCCGCGCGCGCGCGCGAGTTGGCGATAGGCATTCGCGCATTCAGCGTCGTCTATTCACACGGGGATGCCCCCGTCTTCCGATCAGAGAATGCATTTTTACATTGGGTTTTCGCCATTGGGTTTTGGAGTCAACATGGCCCCCGTTGCACACAATCTTTCAGCGGCACGCCGCCGCCGCGCGCGCGTTGGCGATTGGCATTTGCGCGTTCAGCGTCGTATATCCAACCGTGGGTTTTCCCGCCTTCCGATCAGATAATGGATTTTGACATTGGGTTTTCGCCATTGGCGTTGGGAGTTCAGCACCGCCCCGACCAGCGGCATGCCGCCGTCGCGCGCGTTGGCGATTTGAATGCGAGCATTCAGCGTCGCATTTCCACATGGGGATGTCCCCATCTTCCGATCAGATAAGGATTTGTTTACATTGGGTTTTCTCGCCATTGGGATTTGGAGTCAACATCGCCCCCGTCGTATAAAACCTATCAGCGGCACGCCGCCGCCGCGCGCGCGTTAGCGATTAGCATTTGCGCATTCAGCCTCGCACATCCGCACGGGGATGCCCCCCTTTTCCGATCAGGGAATGAATTGTTACATCGGGTTTTCGCCATTGGGTTTTGGAGTTCAACCTCGTTTCCGCTGTTATATATATATATATATATATATATATATATATATATCAGCGGCATGCCGCCGCCGCGCGCGCGCTGCGATTTCCATTCGCGCATTCAGAGTCGCATGTCCACGTGGAAATGCCCCCGCCGTCCGATCAGATAATGAATTTTCACATGGAGTTGTCGCCATTGGGTTCGGGAGTTCAACATGGCTCCCGTTGCATAACAATATATCAGCAACGTGCCGCCGCCGCGCGTGCGCGCGCGCTGGCGATTGGCATTTGCGCGTTCTGTGCGCCTTCCGATCCGAGAATGAATTTTTACATTGGGTTTTTGCCATTGGGTTTTGGCGTTCAACATCGCTCTCGTTGTATACAAACTATCAGCGGCATGCCGCCGCCGCGCGCGCGTCGGCGATTGGCATTTCTGCATTTGGTGTCGCATATCCACATCGGGATGTTCCAGTCTTCCGGTCAGACAACGAATTTTGTCATTGGGTTTTCGCAATTGGGTTTTGGAGTGCAACATCGTCTTTGAAGGTTCCAGGTCGATCGAAGATCACGGATTCAGATTCAACCGTCGATCGACGATCAAGGATCCAGGGTCGATCGAAGATCGATCGAAGTTGCGGGATGGACCGAAGGACCAGGGATCTCAGAAACGATTGGTGGCCCAACGGGCACGTAACCGATATCAGAATCTATGGCTTCATGGTACGCCTGGGGCATCAATATGTTGCCACAGTAACCCAACGACCCAGCCGTTCAAACCGACCGCATGACGGCCCCAGCAACAGGGATCCGACCATTCGGTTTTGGATCGGATTTCATAGACTTCGATCTTCGATCCGAGAATGAAGGACTTTCGGAAGGGGAGGAGACAGCGCAAGAGGAGGAGGCGGAGGAGGAGGAGGATAGGCGGAGAGGGGGAGCGGAGGTCGAGGAGGAGGAGGTTGAGGAGGAGGAGGAGGAGGAGGAGGTTGAGGGGGAGGAGGAGGAGGAGGAAGGCACATCGCTTGAGACATCCCTACAAAACTGGCACGAACGGCACTATGCACCAAACGCTTGGGGAAGGTGCGCGCGGTTCGTGTGGCGCGTTGGATGACACATGCCGCGTAGCCTTTGTCAGGGTGAGGCCTGGCCCCCTCATCATCGCTTTCGAAAGACACCCTGTAAATGTTCGGTTAAACTGCCGTTGTTTACCGGACATTTCTCACTAACGCCAGTGGTCGTCGTCATGTTTGTGCCACCCCATGTAGTGGTATGACGTGGTTTGTTCGCGTCTTCGAAAACAAACGTTAGTTGCGCAATATTGTCATCACGTGTCGCCGGTCTGATGAGGCCATTTTGAGCCAATTTGGACCATACTGCTCCATCTTGGAGTCCATCTTAAAGCACTTGTGGCCCCCTCGGCACCAGAGGGCGCGCGCAAGGAATGGCCCCCAAAGTGCGGTCCCTTTCCACGCCAGGCTCGGGCGTGTCAGGCGTGGCTTGTTCACAACCCAGACAGGACGCGCGGTGCGCAGGGAGTGGTCCCTGAGCGCAGTCTCTATCCACGCTGGGGTCGCAGGGCGTGGCAGGCGTGGCCTGACGCCAAGAGGGGGTGCGCACGAATCTGCCCCTGCACGCAGGGCGCCAGGGCGGTCGCGGGGACGTCTCCCGCGATCCAGTTTGCCCCGCCTCCCTTTTGTTTTCTATAGGCGCACTACAGCGTTGGGGAAAACCATGTTTTACACTGTCTCCCTAAACTAATTGTTTTAAACCGTTTTTAGACATTACACTACAAGTGTATGTATGTATGTATGTATGTATATATATATATATATATATATAGATGAATACTACTCTCTTCTCCCCCCCTGAGTCTGTCCGGAAGATGTTCGGCCCCCTCCGCGTTCTGTCTTTCCACACGCAGGAGTGTCTAGAGTTTGGTTTTCGATTGTGTTTATGATAATTCAAGTTTTTCGGTATTTCAAAATCTTGTTCCTGCTGCAGTGCTGGCCCCATTTCTGCGCCTGTGGTCGTTCCAACTCGTGCTCCCGCTGCAGCGCGGGCTGTTCCAGTCCTTCCAAATAGTTCCAAGATCTACAGAAGTCCTCCGAAAAAACATCGGAAGTGATTACACATCCGGTGTCGATTCGTTGATTTTTTTGGCCGCAGAAGGCTCCCACTTTGGGGCGTCGTCTTTGTGAGGAAGTATCAGGCGGGAGCTCAGTTCCTGTTTTGAGAAGGCGATGTTGAAAGCAGGGCTAGCGGGTGCTCTCCATCAGCCCCGCCTCGTGGGGAGCTTTCCGGAGAGCCCAGGGAGTTGAACCTGGAGCCGAGACTTCAGACCAGCCCAGACCTCTCGAAGACGATCAACTTACCCTTCAAGAAACCCAGCGCCATGCCAGGACATGCAGCGCGGTGTTGTGTTCTGTGCCGCTGTGCGATGCCATGTTTTGCGTTGCAATGCTTCGTCGCGATGCAATGTTTCAGTACGCAATGCCACGCCATGCTGCGCTCTGCAGTGCTCTTCTACGCCATGCTATGCCGCGCTCTACCATGCATCCCATACCCTCCCGGGGTCATTGCCCCGCTCGAGGTCCGACTGCGCGACTGGAGAGGAAATATACGCCATGGGAGGGCATGGGAGGGAGGGGTAGGACGTCAGATATGACGCTAGCGCTTCTAGCTTGTCCTCCTCCCCCTCCCCTCCTCAGACTCCTCTTCCTCCTCTTCCGCCTCCTCCTCCTCTTCCGCCTCCTCCTCCTCCCCCTCCTCCTCCTCCTCCTCCTCCTCCTCCTCCTCCTCCTCCTCCTCCTCCTCCCCCGCCACTCGCAGTGCATGATTCCAGGCAGGCCAGATTCCGAAGTCCACGACCTCACCCACATATTAGTAGTCTTGGTTTGGCTTGGACGGCTGTCCGCAATGGTGTTCGTTTGTTCGTTCATCTTCCCCCACTATTGCCCCCCCCCTTCCCTCTCTTCCTCACCCTTCGCCTCAGCCCCCCCAGACAAAAAAATTGGGCCGACAAAGTCTAGAAGTGAGATCCAGACGAATCCTCGAAACGGGGATGCGAGGGAGCAGCACAAGGCCCCGAGGCCCTAAACCCGAAGGCCTTTGAAGTTGGGACTCCGACCTCCATTCTGGAGAAGTTGGGCATTTATTTTCAGCGTTCTGCCCCACCCATTTCGGGGGGGAACCAGAAGCGGAGACTCGGGCCTTCATTATTGAGGCGATTGTCACCCATTCCCAGGGTTTCTTCTCACCCACTCGGGTGATGTGTTGGAGCCTGTGCGCCTGTGTGTGTTTTTTTATGTTGCCGATTGTTGCATCGCTCCGCAGGCGCGCGTCCAGGACAAGCTCGGCGTCGTCGAGTTCCCGATGCCCCAGTTCATCCTGATCGGCAAGCAATCTGTGGGGAAGAGCCGTCTCATCGAGGCCCTCCTCCTGATGCCCCCCGTGCTTGACCTCCTCCTCGCCTCCTCCTCCTCCTCCTCCTCCTCCTTACATCCTCCTCCTCCTTACATCCTCCTCCTCCTCCTCATCTTCATCCTCCTCCTCGCGGTTCCAGAACCTCTCCTGCCATCCTCCCAGTCCTCTTGGAGCCCCAGGACCCTTCCCCACCCCCCGAGAACCTCAGGTTTCTCTTCCTCCTCCCGGGAGGCCCTCGCCGGGGAGACCTTCAACTTCATCTCTGGGACTCTGGGCAGCCGGAGGCCTACCGTGCTGGAATTCAGGAGTTTCGGAGGAGGAGGAGGAGGAGGATGAGGAGGAGGAGGAGGGAAGGTGCCCCGACGGCCAGATGGTTCCAGGATATTGTACGGTGGGGCTTAGAGTCTCTAGGAGGATCTAGGATTTCGGGTGTGAGTGAGATCATAATGAGGAGGCGGAGGTGCAGGGTATGCAGGAACAGAAGGTGGAGAGTGAAGAGGTGCAGGAGGAGGGGAAGGCGGTAGCGGAGGAAAAAAAAGAGGGCTAGGAGGACGGGGACGCAGACGATAACAACGTGGAGGAGAAGGGCGGGGAGGAGCAGGACGAGGACGAGGAGGAGGAGGAGGAGGAGGAGGAGGAGGCAGGTGAGGAGGTTGAGGAGAAGGTTGAGGGGATGAGGGAGAATGATGAAGCGGAGGTGAAGAGGACGCAGCAGCAGAAGGAGCTGTGTATCTCAGGAGGAAAAGGATGAGCGGGATGAGAAGGACGAGGAGGTGGAGCAGCAGCGCGAGGGGTGGCATTCAAGAAGGGGAGTAGGAGGAGGAGCAGGAGGACGAGGAGGAGGAGGAGGAGGTGGGCTGCGGTTGAAGCTCAGGAACGTGCCGATGCATACGTCCTCGCGGTGGTTCGTGCGCGACCGCAAGTCGAACCAGTGGGAGGAGCAGCCCATCGCCTCTGTGATGAAGAAGGTCGGGGATGCGCACGAGGAGCTCGGGGAGACGGTCAGCAAGATTCCTGTATATGTGCGGCTCGAGTCGGCCGACTGTGTCGACATGCAGATCGTGGACTTGCCGGGCTTCCGGGATTTCGCGATGGATCAGGCCAAGCAAGCCCTATCTGGAGAGATCGAGGCGCTTGTCACGGAGTTCATGCAGGACAAGCGCAACGTCATGTTGTGCGTCGAACAGGCTAGTGACGCTGCCAATATGTCCACGCTGCAGAAGTGCCGAAACGTTGACAGGGACCTCGAAAGGACTGTGTTGATTAGGAACAAACTCGACAAGTATTACGGCGACCTAAACTCCGACAACATCAACCAATGGATCAATGGTTTCGGAGATCTGCCTGAAGGATTGCAGAAGTTTTCGTTGACGCTGCCGTTCTGGAAGGAGGGCCAGGCACCCCCGAAGCCGTTCGTCGAGCTGAGACAGGACTGTTAATCTTCCTCTTCATCATCCTTCTCCTCCTCTTCTTCCTCCTCCTACTCCTCTTCCTCCTCCTCCGCATAATGAGCATCACACGCATCATCATGTTCCTCCTCCTCTTCCTCCCCCTTATCCTCCTCCTCCTCCTCCTCCTCCTCCTCCTCCCCCTCCTTTCATGTGAGGACATGCACAACGAGGACGTGAGGCAAATGGCCAGCAAGGGCATCAGCAAGAAGTTTGAGACGACCGTAGGATTCAACAACTTCGCCGCGTTCATGTCAAAAAAGATCGAGCTCATGTTCGGCGAGGCGCTGACCCCGGTGCTCACGAACCTGAAGGAGATGAAGAAGGAGGCGGCGGGCGCCCACCAGCGGAGTCTGCCTACACCCCCTCCCCCATGATCCTCCTTGTACGCCTCGTGCACCTCTTCCCCTTCCTCTGACATCCTCCCGTCGCGCATAGAGCACTTCAGCCCCAAAGGCCAGGCACACTGTTTCTCAATCGTCGGCGCTCGGGGGCCCTCGCAGGGCCCCAGGACCGTCAACAGAACTGCCGAGGGTGTACTACGTGGTCCGTGGAAAGTGAGTCGAGACCTCTGGGGATCCACGCCGCGAAAACAGCACGACATCGGGCTCCTCCTGGACTGGCAGCAGGCAGGCAGTGCCGAAGAGGCCCGAAGTGTTGCTTACGGCGGCTCTCCTCATCCCTCCTCCCTCCTTGCCGCCGCCTGCTGCTGCTTTCCCCTCCCCTTCGGGGGTTCGGCGGGCCACGTCGCTGCTGCTGCTGCTCCTCGTCCCCCTCCTCAGCCTCCTTCTGCAGGGCATGACGAAGGTAGAGGAGAAGACGCTGGAGTTCAACGAGACCAACCCACAGAGGATTCTCAGCACGACGCGCGACTGCGGGGTATCGTTTGCCACCGCTCTAAGGTCGGGGCGCCCAGAAACCACAGTGGCACCGAAAGTCTCCCCCAGGGGGGGGAGAGGAGGTTGGAAGAGAAATGGACCTCCGACGGCGTGGCTTTCTATTCGGTGCTTGCGTTTGTTGCTCGATGTTGGCATCCAGGGGCCCGTTCTAGACTCCAGCACAGTCAAAACGCGACTCTGGACGAGAAGCCAGCCCATTGGAGAAGGAGGGGAAGGACCATCGGAAGTTGGAGAACTGGGGAGGAGAGGAGGGGGAGCCGAACCTCACTACAGTATCCTTGCTGTTTGGGCTGCCCCGACAAGGCACGTCATGGAGGGCGTGCTCGACCTGAAGCCCGTGATGAACCTCGAGGAGGAGTTGCGGGAATTCCACTCGTACCACGCGAAGTTGGGTTCCCAGAGGAAGAGAAGGCACACCCACACCGATGCCTTTCCTCGTGTTCTTTTTTGGAGGCCTCCTGCTTGGATCGGCGCGGGGAGTGCCAAGGGTATATAGAGGGATCATAATGTGATGCCAAAGTGGGTCGTATCTGGCCGAACCTTGCTTCTACGCGACTTACATGTGCCATACGCGGCTGACGGGGTTGACGATCCGGGCTATGTGGGCTCCGTCTGCTCAGCGGAGTCATCCAACACCCGTAAGCCATTCGGGGGACTCGTCACCCACTTGTAAGCTAGGTTCGGCCAGACATTCCCGACCGTGGCATCCATTGAGAACCCCCCACTATCCCATTAGCAGCGCCCGTGCCGATCCAAGTGTGTGGGGGGGGTCTTCGTCGCCGCGGCTGGATTCGGCTCGGACTCAGGGCGGGAGGCCGACCCAGGAGAGGTCCAGGGAGCAGCGGTATCTGTATGGTTGTAGTTCCCCACAGGTTCTATGCACTTCAGCATGCTTCCTTCCGACGATTTTGCTGGTCTGCAAGACTACATCGATTACCTTCGGAAAGAGATCTGCGTGGCTGCGTTCGACGTCGAGGTGAACGGCGGGGCCCAGTTCCGCAGGTTGATGAACGAGGTTGAGATCTTCCTCCGTTTTTCCGAGATTGCCGTGGAGACCAAGAAGAAGGACGTGATCCAGGCGAGGGGGGTCTCCATGAGCTCCCTCACGTGGAGGGACGTTGTTGTGAAGCTGCTGAGCAACGAGGCGCACTTGCCGCTCCAGCGCCGCGTGCAGTACGTCGGGGAGCGCATCAAGTGGTTCTTCGAGAACCAAAAGGACGCCGTGCTGCAGTTCATGGACTCCATCGAGGGCACGCCGGCAGCGAATATGTACTCCCCGCTCTACTCCAAGCACGCGAAGCTCATCAAGTCGAACACCATGATCAAGCACCTGGTCTACCAGACCTACGATGCGGCCTGCAAGCGGCAGCTCGCCCAGTTCGTGGAGCTCTTCGACAGCATGCTCACGTCTACCTTCTCGAACCCCTGGGTCTTCCTGAAGGGCGCCGCCGGCGAGGACAGCCCGGAGGACGAGGACCTCACGGCCACCGTCCTGCCGTCTTTCGACGACACGAAGGAGCGCATCCCGCAAGAGATCACGCAGCGGTCGCAGGTCGAGACCACACTCTCAAGGTGGCTCGCCAGCGTGCCCACCGAGTCGCACCAGATCGACGAGGCGGTGGACAAGGTCCAGATTCTGGTGCTGAGGGCCTACGGCTTCATTCGCTCGCAGGTCTGCGACCAGGTGGAGCTCTTCTCCGAGTCATTTTTCAAGCTCCCGATGCTCCGCCGCCTGGAGGAGGACATGGCGATGATGAAGCTCTCGGAGGACGACGAGGCGCAATACAGGGCCCGGCGGGACAGCTTGACCAATGAGATCAAAGCCGTCCAGGAAGGCTTGGTCGAGATCAATGGGTGCATCGAGATGCTGCAGGACTTCAAGCTGAAGTGCGATTCCCGCTGAGCGCGTGGTCGCCGATGAGACTAAGAGGCTTCAAAGCGGTAGTCGAATAGTTTGCTTAGAAGTCCGGCGCCACCACAGGAGGCGAGTAGAGGCGAGACCCATGACCCCCCCCCCGAAATGGAATACCAAAGACAATCTCGCAGACTCAAATGTTAGGAGATCTGGGCGGATTCTCTGGGTCGGCTTTAGGCCACCCTCCCTACACTCCTTCCCGGGCACGCGGAACGCGCCGTGGGCGGCGCCAGAAGCGCCGCATTGGGATGTGGGCTGGGTCAGCCCAGTGCCGACCCGAGAAATCCGCGCAGACCACCAATCGTTGATGTGCACACTTGACGCACCAAGTGAGAAATTGTCCTGCCACCGGGTGCCCACCCGAGAATATCGAATCCCGCGGTTGGCTCGGAGATTCTTGAGGCATGTTGCGAAGCTCAAAGTCGACGAAGTATGCCCCCTAGATTTCTTTCAGCAAGATTTGTCATCGCATGTGTATGTTGAATGTTTCTGTTGTCCTTCCATTGAATTGCAAAAATAATAGCTGGGGCGCTGGTTTTTGTGCCAGTGTGCAAAAAAAACAGTTTGAAACATCAGATTACGAATCCGAATTTCCTGACCACCATTTCGTAGTCCCACATGGTGGTCAGCAAATGGCTCGAGGAATGGCGGTTGTACAACAGTGCTTGTTCAGAGAGCCGCACTCTTACTCGTGTCGCCTTCGGCTTTGTCGCTACGCAATGGCATGTTGGCGCCAAACTGGCGGCGCAGCGCTGCTCTCGTCTAGTGTTCGTTAGTCTGTAACTTTCCGGGCTGATATCGTCCCTAATGTATTGTATTGTGTTGTGCTGTATTGTACTGTATACGGCGGTCAGGGGAGCGTTGGTCCTGCGTGGACCGCTTAGAAAGCTGGCAAGCCACCATGCAGATTGCGAGATGGTGGCTACGCTTGTTTGGGGAGCTTGAAGCTGCGCGGACCGACAGCAGTGGCCGGAGGAGGGCCAGCTGAGCTAACGGCGGCTCTGCCGCCCGGCCTACCTGGGGGGTGCTAATCAAGGGGATCGGGGGGCCGCTTATATCTGGCCTGATCTAGCTTGTCCGCGGCTGAAGCGTGCCGTACGCGGCTTCAGGGGGTCAAACGATTTGGGTTCACAGGGCTCCGCCCATTTAGCGGAGTTTCCTAACCCCTCAGGCCCCCTAGGGGCACTTGTAACTCACGTAGAAGCTATTTAGGTCAGGCCAGATATAACCCAACTTGGCACCCAGTGAAAGCCCCTTATCCCCTTAGCGAGTCCGCGCCGATGCAAGTATATCAGACTAAAGTGGGTCACCAGACCCCTCCTTGGGACCCGTCCTGACCGTCTTTCAGGGCGGATCCAGAGTTGTTGCGACGAGAAGAGGCCCCCAGGAAGTCTAGGGAGGGCGAAACACGGCAGGCAGTGCGGCCGCTGTCTCGACTGGCCATCTTCCGAAGGGACCACCCAGAATTCCGACGTCGTGACTTTCTCGTAACGTGGACTCACCGAGGTCTGCATCCCCCTCGGGCACCAGAACGTCATTCTGGGGTCCTGGAGGCAGTTTTCTTTAGACTCTGGCGAGTTTACTTGCAGGGAGGGGGGAGGGTTGGGCGTGGCGAGACCCAAACAGAGATCTGGACGTCACTTCACGCACGTCGGGACCCGCTTGCACGCCTCTTCGGTCCAGCACTGTTTGAAGAAAAGGCGGCGGAGAGGGGGGAGGCAACATGCCGAACAAGTAAATTCGCTAAGATTTAGAACAACACACGCAAGTGAGTCCTTTCTGACGGCCCCGGGGCCCAGTCAGGGCCCCCAGGGGCCGAAAATGATTAAGAATTTCCCATCGTGATTTCGTTTCATCGAGAGGAGGCGGGGAACCCCGCTCGTTCGCCCGGGTCGACCTGTCCGTCGGTTTTCGGTGCCCAACTCGGGCCTCAGGCGGCCGTTCGGGACGATCCTGGCACCCATGGACGCCTCTCGACGAGGCGCAGCTGATGGAGAGCATCCCGAGGCGAGAAAGCCTGCAGGAACCAACGAGAAGAACCCCCCCCACACCAACCCCTGGTGCATTCCTCGTCCTGCCTCTCGGCGCGCCCACCTCTGCCTGTGGAGTCTGGGGCGCGCCCGCGCAGCCGCCCTCCCCGGCAAGATGCCTGCGGGGCGTGCGCCTCTCGCGCGGGCAGGGGCGATCACAGCACGCCCTCGAGGCGAGGGAGGGGATGGAGGGGTGGAGGCCGGAGTCGAAGAAGAAGAGGGGGCAAGGAGCGCATTGACAGGAGAAGAGGGGGCCATGAATCCGAGGAAATACTTGACGCTTCGCGTGTCGCCACCAGAGTTTCCGTAGCCTGGCTCAGCCAGCACCGCGCGCCCGAAGGTGCAGCCTGGGGGGCTGCGAGGCGCAGGTCGGATGGCTGCGGCGGTGCCATCGGCTGCCGAAGCGACGGCGACCAACGGCGCCGACCCCCTCTCCCGCCATCAGCTACAGCGCCGCGATCACTTCGTGCGGGAAGGGCGATCAGTAGCTACGGGCACTTGGCGACCGCGGCTCCGGGCAGTGGGTATGTGGACAGACGGCAGTGGCAGCACGGTAGGAGTAGGGAATGACCAGCGCCACCCAAAATTGCAGCGTCACCAGCGCGAGCAGCACCACGACCAGCGCCACGACCAACACTCCGACCAGCACAACGACCAGCACAGCAGCCAGCACTCCGACCAGCACATCGACCAGCACAACGACCAGCACTCCAGCCAGCACAGCGACCAGCGCCACGACCACCACTCCGACCAGCACAACGACCACCACAACGACCAGCACCCCGACCAGCACAACGACCAGCGCCACGACCAGCACCACGACCAGCACACCGACCAGCACTACGTCCAGTACAACGACCAGCACCACGACCAGCACTCCGACCCGCGCCACGCACAGCACCACGACCAGCATCCCGACGAACACCACGACCAGCACAACGACCAGCACCACGACCGGCGCGCCGACCATCACAGCGACCAGCACTCCGACCACAACGACCAGCACAGCGACAAGCGCAACGACCAGCACTCCGACCAGCACAGCGACCACCACAACGACCAGCAGAACGACCAGCGCAACTACCAGGATCACGACCAGCACAACGACCGGCACCACGACAAGCACAACGACCAGCCCCACGACCAGCACTCCGACCAGCACAGCGACCAGCACTTCCACCAGCACCACGACCAGCGCAACGACCAGCACAGCGACCAGCGCCACGACCAACACAGCTGCCACCACAACGACCAGCATTCCGACCAGCACGACGACCAGCGCCACGACCAGCACCACGACCAGCACAGCGACCAGCACAGCGACCAGCACAGCGACCACCACAACGACCAGCGCCACGACCAGCACTCCGACCAGCACTCCGACCAGCGCAACGACCAGCACAACGACCAGCACTCCGACCAGCACAACGACGAGCTCCACGACCAGCACTCCGACCATCACTCCGACCAGCAACGCGACCAACACTCCGACCAGCACCACGACCAGCGCAACGACCAGCACAACGACAAGCACAACGACCAGCGCCACGACCAGCACAACGACCAGCACTCCGACCAGCACAGCGACCACCACAACGACCAGCACCATCACCAGCACCACGACGAGCACCACGACCAGACTCCGACCTGCACCACGACCAACGCCACGACCAGCACACCGACCAGCACACCCACCGCCGCAACGACCAGCACTACGTCCAGTACAACGACCAGCACAGCGACCAGCACCCCGACCAGCACTCCGACCAGTCTTGCTGCGTCATCTCGCGCACGCGCCTTCGACGTTGGCAGCGACGCATGCACATCGAGGCCTTGCGCGGGCGTCTACAGATCGAGTCCGCGAGGCGGTTGCGGGCCGAGGAGCAATGCCGAGCACAGACGGCGGCCCCCGGCGGGACTACGGCCCGCGAGCGTGCCGTCTTGGCGGGAAACCGCTTGTATACGGCAGCATGCCACCACACAGGCGTAAGCGATCACCACGGCCCCGTGGCGTTTCGGCGCGCTGGATGGTTTAGCCCTGCTGCCCGGGAGACGCTCCTACGCGCCGCCGTAGGCAGACACCACGGGTTTGCCGACATGTCAGACGAGGAGTTTGCGGCCCTCTCCGCACCGGCGCTGCGAGCCGCACAGCGAGACGCGCGCCGTCTGGATCGATGCGCTTCGCCAGACGAGCCCTGGCACAGTGCTGCGCCTCTCGCTGAAGCGGCCGGGGGCTTTCCAGGGCGCCGTGCGGCTGCGGTGTTGCGGGTGCAGACAGCGTGGCGGAGACACGCGAGTGTTCGCCGTTCTCCTTTGGTCGCCAACCTGCGCTACCAACGCCACACCGACCAGCAGCCTTCCGACCAGCATCAGCACAACGACCAGCACAACGACCAGCACTCCGACCAGCACAACGACGAGCTCCATGACCAGCACTCCGACCAGCACCACGACCAGCTCTCCGACCAGCAACACGACCACAACGACCAGCACCACGACCAGCGCCACTACCAGCGCAAACACCGCACAACGACCAGCACTCCGACCAAGGCAACCACCAGGACCACGACCAGCACAACGACGAGCTCCACGACCAGCACTCCGACCAGTGCCACTCAGACGCGACTTCTCCCGACACCCCCGACGGACCACAGCGCTGCCGGGCCGACTCCCGCGTTGGCCAGCCCCCCGGCTTTGGAACGTGGCGGGACGGCGATTGGGCAGGACGCGCGGCTGCAGCAGTGCTCCGGCTCCAACGTGCGTGGAAAAGAGTCGTTAGACAGCGCGCCATGCTGAAGCTTCTCCCAGGCCTCGCTGCCCGTCTGACGCCCAGTGCCCCTCGCCTGGTGGCCACGGCAGCTGTGCGCCGACAGAGGGGCGCACGGGTGCCTTGCCGGTTCGGCTCCGCATGCCCATGGTACGTATTCGCAGGTGTCTTTTCGCACACCACGCATCTGG